CGATGCATCAAAACTGTAATTCCCGCGGGAATTCTCGTCATCGGTAATGTCCCTTTTAATTCCATACCGCTTCACCGTTTTGCCACCATCCGGTCTCGCTGTTTTTGTGATGCGTCTCTCTGCCTGCGTGTTTGCGCAGATCTTATCCGAGAATGACACTTTAATTATACTAGCACTGAACCTGATAAATAGATCGATGTAGCTTACAAATACCTGATAATCATGTGGCATAGGAATGGTAGTGGCTATTCCCTCTGCTTTAGACTACACGTCGTGCGGGCAGGACAGATTATTCCGTTCGAGTTACCAGCCATCTAGTCTGAGCGCTGGGGCTGCTCGCAGTGGACTGCCTTAGAGCTCACTCTTCAATTTCGACTGCCTCCAACAAGTCACTCCAGCTCAAGCAAGCTACTCCAATTGCGACCAAGATGATGATCAGCAAGACGATCTATGCATTGTGTGCGGCAGCTGTGGCGTTCTCTGGTGGTACAGTGGATGCGACGACGGAGGCGGCGGAGACGTTTGGCTGGCTATTGCCGAAGAGCCAGAACACTGACGGTGGCTACGGAGGTACTAGTGTCGGCACAGACGGATATGAAGGCGCGTCCGCGGGGATAAGTGGATATGGCGGACTGTCTTTTCTAATGGCACTTGGCGGTCTCAAGGCTGGTGCTGGTGGCTACGGCGCTACGGGCGTGGATCTCAACGCAAATGCTGGTCTCGGTGCACTTGGTTACGGCAATGCCAACGCCGGCGCCGGCCTCAATGCTGGTGCCGGTCTCAACGTTGGTGCTGGCCTCAACGCTGGTGCGGGTCTTAACGCCAATGCAGGATTGAAAGCGAACGCCGGACTCAGCGCTGGTGCCGGACTCAACGCTGGTGCCGGACTCAACGCTGGTGCCGGACTCAACGCTGGTGCCGGCCTCAATGCTGGTGCCGGTCTCAAGGTTGGTGCAGGTCTCAATGCTGGTGCCGGTCTCAACGTTGGTGCTGGTCTCAATACCGGTGCGAGGTTTAGCGCCAATGCAGGATTGAAAGCGAGCGCCGGGCTCAACGCTGGTGCCGGCCTCAATGCTGGTGCCGGTCTCAAGGTTGGTGCTGGTCTCAATGCTGGTGCCGGTCTCAACGTTGGTGCTGGCCTCAACACCGGTGCGGGTCTTAACGCCAATGCAGGATTGAAAGCAAATGCCGGACTCAACGCTGGTGCCGGTCTCAAGGTTGGTGCCGGACTCAACGTTGGTGCTGGCCTCACCGCCGGTACGGGTCTTAACGCCAATGCAGGATTGAAAGCGAACGCCGGACTCAACGCTGGTGCCGGACTCAACGCTGGTGCCGGACTCAACGCTGGTGCCGGCCTCAATGCTGGTGGCGGTCTCAACGTTGGTGCTGGCCTCAACGCCGGTGCGGGTCTTAACGCCAATGCAGGATTGAAAGCGAATGCCGGAGTCAACGCTGGTGCCGGAGTCAACGCTGGTGCCGGCCTCAATGCTGGTGCCGGTCTCAAGGTTGGTGCAGGTCTCAATGCTGGTGCCGGTCTCAACGTTGGTGCTGGTCTCAATACCGGTGCGAGGTTTAACGCCAATGCAGGATTGAAAGCGAGCGCCGGACTCAACGCTGGTGCCGGCCTCAATGCTGGTGCCGGTCTCAAGGTTGGTGCTGGTCTCAATGCTGGTGCCGGTCTCAACGTTGGTGCTGGCCTCAACGCCGGTGCGGGCCTTAACGCCAATGCAGGATTGAAAGCAAATGACGGACTCAACGCTGGTGCCGGTCTCAAGGTTGGTGCTGGTCTCAATGCTGGTGCCGGACTCAACGCTGGTCCCTGCCTCAACGTTAATGCCGGCCTCAGTGCTGGTGCCGGTCTCAACGCTGGTGCTAGTTTGAATACTGGTGCCGGCACAAGTGTGAAGAAGGGCACCAACACGGACAGCTACTCGAAGGGAACGAGTGCCATCGCTTCGTTAGCCCCAGAGAAGACAGCTAACCAAGCTTCTCAGATGGCTACTCAGACGTCCACGAAGCCCAGCACTTACCGCCACCTGCGCGCGTAAACTAGGAATGATGGTCATCCTTTCCAAGTCAGAAGAACGCCATCCATTACACTCGTCCGATGTGTCGAGACATTTACCGCTCCGTGCGATACCAGTCCAATGAATGCTTTGTAGTAGTCGTCATTTACGACTTTGAATGCTTTGTGAGTTCATGACGCCTTTTGTACGATCATTGTTCTTGTCACTAAATACCAGGTTTTGTAGTAGTCGTCATTTACGATTTTAAATGCTATGTGAGTTCATTACACCTTTATTGCTCCTGTCATTTGAGTGATTGCTTCCGTACCCGACATTAACCCCTCTAAGACAGCCTTCTGACAGGAGCTTATATATTCCATTATTATTGGGGCAAAGCCCTATAATGAAACGAATTAGTAAGACAACTACTCTTTTTACAGGAGTATTTACGAAGTATTAGAAAAGGGTTAGGGTAGACATACCGCCTAGTGACCATTTTATGGCGAAAAATACTTCGGCACCCCTCTTGTCCAGTTTTATCACTCAGGGTATTGTCCAGGTATACCGGCAGGTATTGTCAGGGTAGAGTTTTAACGGTTTAAATTACTCTCATTATCTTCCTTATGAATTCTAAGCCACCAGATAGGGAAGACACATTGGCAGGCCCCCCCCCCCCCACGCCCCAGAGCTGGGCAGAGATCAAAAAAAATTGTCCATGAGCAAGGGGACAGTGCGTAGACATGGTACTAGTGACCCAAGAAAGGCTGGGACGTATAAACTTAGACCTCTTTCGAGCAGTCCGTTATGCCTACTCTAGAAGAGCCACCTGC